ATTTTGAAATGGAAGCCCAGTAATCAAATAAGTTTAGTAAAATTTCTTGTGTTTACAGAGAACTAGTCAAAATGATTCTATATTTTCCTGTTTAAGCATCCTAGTGGAAGTCATGTTTTGCCTTTCTAATTGAATATTTGCTTACATGTGTGTGATACAATGTCCCTGAATGAAGCAAAAAACACACATGATACTTTTACTTCTAATTTTTGAAGTTTTTCTTTATCCCAAGGCCCCAACTTGCCAAAAAAATACATTTGTACTATAGTGTATCTGTTAGCTCTTTCTATTAATTATCAAACTCTGAAAATCTTGTCACCTGTATATAACAAAAATGAGTGTGAAAAGAACACTCGATTAGATGCAGAATCTGCCATTTATCAGCAGCATTTTACCTGGGAACATTGCTTAACTGTCCTTTGTTTCCTAACACAATTAGAATATACAGTACCTACTGCCCACCTTACAGGGTTGTTGAAAGAAGCAATCACATATGTCAGAATGACAGAACCAAGCAGAGTATAAAAGCATAGACTTGTAGTTCAAGAGCCCAGTTTGAGCTCTGGCTCTACTCATGTACTCTGTGTCCTTGGGCAAATAACTTGACTTTTAAGCCTTAGTTTCTTCATGTGTCAAATGAGGATGATAACACCTATCTCACACACTTGTTGAGAGGATTAAGTTACACAATAAACAGGGGTGGAGCATCTGTGATAACAGTGACACTGATGAATGTTTCCCATGTTTCAGGTACCTGATAACATATGTGAAAGTGCACTCTAGGCTCCAAAGCCATGCAGTGGAGGCCTAGCTTATGTGCTTTTCTATTTCCAATCTTTGATCCCTTGTGGCCTTGCTTCTAGAGCCCATAGGCTTGCCAAAGTAGAGGGCTCTTACCAAGGTGCCAACTTCAAGAAGCAAACCCTCGGCTCTATGCACTAAAGGTTATCTCTAACCTGGAGGTTGGATTTGGTTGGGTCTCAGAGGAAGCAGATGTGTTATTTTGCATTCCTCATGCATTTCTGATGGACTTCATCACAAGGGTCTAGGATACTGGGAAAAGGAAAACATATACAGAAGGAAGAAACATTAAGCATATCCTTCTTCTCCCTCAACTCAGCCACCACCTTTTGACTGCCACTGCCTCAACTAAAAGTAAAATTTTCTGTGATTTTGTTATTACTGATTTATTATTGTCAGCATAATTGCCACTATTATTAATAGCTATACAGGGACACATGTAGTGATATTTTGAGAAGAATTTTATTACCCTTATATACAAACTAGTGAAATAAGGATTTTGTCAGAGAGGATGAAATACTTGCCAAAGCTACCAAGTGTTATGGCTGAGACTCAAAGCTGGAGCTGTCTCCTCTAAGCTCCTATTTCCAATTACTATGTTACTCTCTGATCTACTTATTGACAACTAGGGCTCCAATTCAACAGAGCATGAGTTTAAAATCCATGTGTTACACTTTCTTGTACCCACCCAGAACTTACACAAGTGAAAATTAGGACACAGACATCAATAAATGCCATTTGAATATTTGTTGACACCAAGATTTTGTAGGAGTTTTCTTTTCTGAAGATTGTAAGAAAGATGCTACACAAATTAATACTTAGTTTAGTCATCCCAATTCTGATGACTTAGCAAACTAGGGTTCTTGCAATAGATATTTTCTTTCTAGTTTTTTTGTTTTGTTTTGTTTTTTGTTTTAGGAAAGTCTTATTATCTGCAAATGCATTAAAGTCATTGATTCCTCCATTGCTCTAGAACCTTGATAGCCTCTGAGCTTTCCATCCTTCCTGCCCTCTGGTTCTCAGCTGTGTGAGAATGGAAAACTTAGGTTGGTGAAGAAGGCACTACACTGGTCCAGTTTGGCTGTGCAACTTCACCTCTGCCCTGCTCTTCTTATTCCCAGGAAAGCCACCTCTTGTCCTTTCTCTGTCTTCAGACAGCCTTCAGAGAAAGACACTCCTAGGCAGTTTGCTCAGTACTGCCAATGCCTTCCCAGGAGAAATGATCTTCTGCTCAATTTGTCCTCTTCTCTGATGAAGACCAAAATAAATCGTTTTGATTGATAGTGAACCGAAATGAAAATGTCCCATGTTATAGAATAGTGAACTTTAACCTTCTGGGAATTTGTTTTCCTACATGAGATGTCTTTTATTATTTCAAGATATATCCTCACATGGTATTTTCATGTTACAAAGATAAGTTTTCTTAAGTTTAATGTAATTTATTGTAATTAATACTCTTAAAAGAAAAGGTGGTTCCACAATCTTGCTATCGTGAATTGTGCTGCTATGAACATCGATGTAGCAGTGTCCCTGTAACATGCTCTTATTAGGTCTTTAGGGAATAGACCGAGAAGTGGAATAGCTGGGTCAAATGGTGGTTCCATTCCCAACTTTCCAAGAAATCTCCATACTGCTTTCCAAATTGGCTGCACCAATTTGCAGTCCCACCAACAATGAACAAGTGTACCCTTTTCCCCACATCCTCTCCAGCACTTGTTGTTGTTGGACTTCCTAATGGCTGCCAATCTTACTGGA